AATAATTATAATAATAGTAATACCAATGATGAAAATGACGACAATAGTAATGATATTAATAATAATAGTAATAATAATCATGATAATGATAATGATACTAATAATAATAATAATAATAATGATAATAATAATGTTAAATATTATAAGTGATTATAAGAAAGAAGTTATCGACAGGGAGACTGATTTCATTATACTTATTTGCATTTAATATTTCATTATGATAAAATTACGATAATGACATTGATAAAGTAAAGAGATATTACACAGAAAAGCCATCTATAAAGAACATCTACATTGTTTCAATTGCAGGGAATCATGCCAGTAATCAGCCTAAGCTCTGGTAATTAACGGAAATATAGGTAACGACCGGAAATGACCGGAAAATGTATTCTTTAATCGGATAAGATTCTTTCTAAAATGCAAACCAAAGATCAAATTATCCGTTAACAACTTACCATTGTCAAACTGTTTTAATGAAAGGAGAGAACGTGCGCGCTGCGAGAGAGAAAATAGAGAGATAGGTAGATAGATAGATAGATAGATAGATAAAAAGAGATAGATAGATAGATGGAGATAGACAGATAGATAGATAAATAGAGATAGATAGATAGATGGAGATACACAGATATAGATAGATAGATAGAGATAGGTATATAGAGATAGGTATATATATAAAGAAATAGATAGATATTTAGATAGATAGAGTTGGATAGTCATACAGACACAGAGAGAGAGGTGATAAATAACTAGATAACTAGAGAGAAAAAGAGAGAGGAAGACAGAAGCAGAGAGAAAACTGATAAATAAATAACTATACAAAAAATAAAGAAAACTAACGAGGAAGAGACATTTTTAGAAAACAAACAAACAAACAAACAAACACAGAGTATAACTAACTAAAACAAAAATCGACAGTTACTTGAAGACAAAGCCAGAGCCATTCATTAGCTTTCGAACCCGACTCCTTTCTCCTCCTTGGTTTAAATAGAAAAGGCTATATATATATGAAGACGATGTGAGCATATATTTCCCCCGAGAAAAGCTTAGATCTCGGTGACTATTGTTATGAACCCAAATGAAAGGTAATATAGAGTCTGATGGAAAACATTCCTAGTGACAAGAACAACAACCGCTGTTAAGGGAATTCTGGAAAAAGGGGTGGTTTATTTTATTATTATTATTTTTCATTATTAATGCTATTATTATTATTATTATTATTATTATTATTATTATTATTATTATCATTATTATCATTATTATTTTAATCATTATTATTATTACTATTATTATTCTTAAAAGCATTATCATTATTCCAATTTAGTGGCGTTTTGAATTAATCTTTATAAAGCTGATTGTCGATAGGAAATTTCTTTTACTTTTCTTTATCAATAGATTTTCTTCACATTTTAGCTGAGTTATTGAATCTGACAAATTATCTTACAGAACTTATGTCTTTAAGAGATGTCCTTAAAAGTTTATCACTGACGCAGACTCTGCACTTACGCTATCATTACAGGCCGTACGTCGAAGAGGTGATCGTTTCCAAGAGCGTAAAACTTTTTCAAACAGATACTTACATATTTCCATCTTTTCTCCTACTTTTCGTATTAATGGTATTTCTTTTTGAAGAAAAAAAAAAATGTTCCATACGCAAGAAAGGTAAATACAAACAAATATTGTCAAATGTTTGGGCGCGTATTCGTATCTGTTTGCGGTGGATGTGTGATAAAACCTTTTATTTTATGCCTGTTGTCGCTGTTCTAAAATGCGTTTACAGTCCATCCCTTTGTTTCGAAAGCGCTGTGGTCGGAAAGCATTAGCTGAACTTGGGCAAGAATAACAACAAAAAAAGAACATGTATACATTTGTTAAGTGTGGACCACAAGCTTTTTTGTAAGCCTAAAATGTAGGGTCACAAAAAGATAAAAGTAAGTGACCAAGAGTAGAAAAAAAAGAAAAATAGAAAACAAAAAGGAATTAATATACCAGTAAAAAATAATATCCATTGAATTTGCTAGATTATTAAAAAGATCTACTTTCCAGTCTATCTCCTACCATAGAAAGTTTACTCATATGCGTAAACCAAAAAGTTCTTCAGTATTTGGTGTTCCCGAGTGTTCTAAGTTCTACTAATTGTTCACTTGAATTCCGTGAGTTCTTTCAGAACAGCAAAAAATGTCGTTATTTGAAAAGTTTGCTGATAAAAAAATGCATGTTTAGCGCCGAGAAAATGGGTGTTCGTTATATATTCAAATGGATGCTTGTGAGGAATACTATTTAGCTGGAAGTTTTAACTCATTCTGGTACTTTTTGAAATCCAAAAAGAACAGAAAATAAATTTATGGATGTGCAACTCTAGAAAGATAATCTATCGATATGTAAAATGAAGATAAGATTAAAAAAAGAATTATAAACTCTCTATATTGTGTTTTTTTGTTTGATTTGCTGAAATAATGAAATGGGTCTTATGTACTTTGATGAATATTTTTTTCTGTCTACT